TAAAGCTCCATACAAGAACTAAAATATATTTATAATATTTCAAAGCTTACAAAATTCGAATCTATAGTTCTCCATACAACAAATTATGCAATATTCTCTAATTAAATAATTTCACCTAAATATCAAATTCTAAACCTTCCAAAACAAACTTCAAAATAGAAATAAAATTTTGAATCCTCCCAAAATAAACAATTAATTCCAAATATCACCCATTAACACAAAATATAGAAAATATCACAAACTAAAAATGGAAAATGGAAAAATCCTTTAACATTCCTATGATTTTTTCCCCCCTAAATCATCACATTTTTGATATTATCCTTTTAAATAAAAATTACAATAAAAATTATTCTAAAAATTATGAATTTTCCTCACCATATATTTTATTCATAACACTATAAAATTTAATACTTTTATGTTAACCGGAATATAGTGAGGAATAAAAATATTAAACAGTTAGAAAAATTACCGCCACCAAAAAAAAAACGAAAAAATTTTCATTAATTTAGTCACGTTTAAATTAAATTGGTTGGTTCACATAAAAAACGAAAAAAATGAAAATTGCATACACAACCAAAAATTATTTCATAAATTTTTAGTTGAGATTTTAAAGCTTCTCCTCTTCTTCTTATTCAACACTTTGCTAATATCTATGTTTATCTTAATCTTTAGAACAATTTCATTTCATTTTCAATTATGTAATTTCAAAAAGAGAAAAGAAATATTCTTATAATTCTCGCTCAATTACTCATACACGATTCAGTTACCCTCCGCTTCCGCCCCTCCGTCCCTCTCTTATTATCCTTCAAATGAACAAATACAGCAACTATATTCATTCTGTGCTTTGTCATGATGAGAACAAAAAAACGGAAAGGATATTTTAACACGAGTTTTTCAAAGGACTTATATTCTAATTCCAAATACGAGTATATAGAAAATCTTTTATATTCAAAAAAAAATATTCAAATCTAAAAACTTAAGCACGTACACACATTCTCCTCCTCGTTACATTAAAGGGAATAAATGTAGAACATCAAAACATATGCATTGAATGTGGTTTTATTCTCTTATACATGCTGAAAATGTAAAAATTTTTTTGTTGTTTTCTACCAAGAAATTGTTGTTTCTGTGATTTCTATGATTTTGATTTTTTACAAAAATATTTTCTTGGTCTTTGATTTCATCTAAATAAGTATACATATTTACATGGCTATATATATAAAAATTATTATATTAAAATATTAAGACTAGACTTTTGGAAATTAAATAACCTTATAACATATTGGATTTGTTCTAATAATTTTGTAGCATATGGGATGAATTTTTTTCAAAAACAAATTTAAAATTTAATTAAAATATTTATAAAAAACACGAGCATAACTTGACATTATCTATACATTAATATTAGATTATTAATTTTTTCTAAATTAAACCATATTAAAATTATAGTTTTGTATTTTATATACGTAAACAAAAATATGTCAAACGGCTGATAAAACTAAAGGTTTTCAATGTAGCACATTTAATTTAAATTATTTGAATGAAAAAATTGACACTCTTAGAACTTCAAGGGCAAAAATTCTAATAAAGTTTAATGTGCACTATTAATAATTTTATTGCATAAACTTAGGGGAAATTTCCGAAACAAAAAAATGAATGAATTTAAGAAAACTTATACTAGCCGAACAGACGCATATTAAATTTCAGCTTTTTTTCGAGCTTATATGCGTACGGACACGCAAACAAGTGGAAAAAGTGAAATTAATTGGCATATTTAATTTCGAAATTTGCTAAAAAATTAGGCTTGATAAATTTCTATAATATATTTAATGACAATACAATTCTAAAATTGTTGGTTCAAAAATTTATGTTTATGTTAAATCTAATTCAGAAAATAAAATTTCAATTTTAAAATCTTAATGTAAACCTTTAGAATACTGCCATATTGTACCTCTAATCTAGGCAATAATTTTATTATGGTTTGTCATCATTATTGAATTTTTCTGATAACAATAACAAAAACAGACTGTACTACATTGATAAATCCAAAGATTTGCGGAAGAAAAAGAGTTGCATTTTGTCATCATTTAAAAATTGAAGATGAAAATTAAAATAAAAGTGACATTACGTTCTCTTATAAACTAAAACATGTTATTTAGGGGTTCATGCATAACTATCTTTTATTTTACCTATTGACTGTTCAATTTACTATTTAATGCATATTGCTCCAAAAAAAAACTTCAATGTTTCCCAACTTTCTTTGTATAGAAATAAAATTTTTTCATAAAATACTTAAGAAATATCAAAATACACATTATAATTTCGTTGTAAGCACTTTACTAAATTGTTAGAACTTTCATATAAAATCTCTATATATTAGAGTTTGAAGAGTCTTAAAGATTATATAACATAAGTTACAATAAAATAATTTATTCCTAAAAATATAACACTTAAAAATCATAAGTATATAAGAATAATCTGTATATATATATTGTTATAAAGTACATATACTTATACATTGAAACATTATGTATTTAGGTCGTCAAGATCGAACAAAAAAAAAATTCACTTGTCAAACACTTTAGAAACTTTATTATTAAGTATTAAAATTGAACATAATACTTTTGTTTCTGAAATTGTTAAAAAGTTAAAATCACAAAAATAATTATGAATATTACCAATCAGCATATACACTTAAAACTTTTCTTTGTAATAAATTTAAATATGTACATATTATGTATAAATTTATCACATTACATATCAGCAGTGGGCCAAAAATAATCAAGGCGGGTCTCATATACTTGTGATTTAATTATTAAGAATATATCGCCCCTTCACTTGTTACACCGTGCCTCAGTTTAATTCAATTTTATTCTTGCAAAAATGGAGCCCATAACAACACTGTGATTAAGCAATTTTGGTCAATTTTTAAACTGTCTTTGGTGATCCTTGACTCGCATCTGTTCGTATGACAATTAATCTTTTTTACAGTAATATTATATAACAGTAGCAGCTAGTATAAACATATGATAGTTAGGTACTCTAAACATATAACTGTTAAAATAAGCATATAAGAATTATTATAAACATATAACAGTTCCATAAGCATAGTATAACCGTATAACAGTTACTCTAATTATTGAGAAAAACACTTACTACAACCATCTAAGAATTATTATAAACATATAACAGTTCAATAAGCATAGTATAACAGTATAACAGTTACTATATAACAGTATAAGTCAAATTGATATTAGGCCTAAACTTAAATAATAGACACCCAAATTTTCCAAGATACTCAGACATCAGTATAAAAATTCAAATTTTAAACATTTAAATGTTAAAATAAAACTAGTTGGGTCTCCCTCCATACATAATTCTGAACACGTATATAAAAAATTTCAATTCTTCTCAGAATAAAAGTTGGCCACCCCCGATTTATTTAAGTAATACACAATATACATTATGTGTGTATGTATGTATAAATCTTATTGTTAAGATCGTATGTGTATATATTTAGGTATCGAATTTTATTTAGCGAAGAGAAGAAATTTTTTTTATTAATAACGGTAAATTTTGCACTTAATTTAATAATCGTTTTTATATATGTATGTATGTATAAGAATGGGTGGAAGTTGAAGGATAAGGTGAATAAATTTAGAAATCATGTTTATCAAAGTTTCTCTTCTATATTGATTCCTTCAAAAAGAATCTATATGTGTGTCTATATGTGCAGAATATCTTATATGATTATATATTAATATGCACATACACGTGCATGTTATAAATTTATTTTTTTTTCTTCTTATATTCCTTGTAATGGTTAATAACCTATTAAGTGTTTTATTCTTTTATTTTATATTTATAGTACAAATATGAAGGTATACAAGTACATGATTACATACATACGAGTAGGCTGTAGTTTTATTGTGACGTTATACAAAAATTAATTTAAAATTACATTTAAGAATATTTTCTAGAATTTTAAAGGAACTTGGTTGTGAACATTTTTCTTTTTAATAAATTCAAATTTATTCGCGCATATAATTAAAAATTTTAATATAGGAAAAAATTAAATATGATAATTAATTAATTATTATGTATGAAATAAATTATTGATTAAAAATTATAAAAGTATAAAATTAAAATTTTGTGCTATAAAAATTATAATTTTAACTTCCATTAAATGTTAACTAATTAGTTAAATAATTTCAAACTGGAAATCCTAAAAGTTGTTGAAAAATATAAAATTTACAATATGCTTAGTATAAATTTTAGGCTTAAGAGGTACCAAATTTAGGGTTCAAAGATAGGGTTCAAAGAGTAAACATTTACCAAATTTCGTTCTGCAATTCTCGCATGCAATTGGGAAGCTGGCGAAATACCTATAAAAATAGTGATTTCTTTTCGATTTCCAAAAACAAATCAAGCGCATAATTTTACTTTTGTTAACTGAAAATCCTAACTTGATATTTTTTAAACCTTGGAGTGTCATAGGACCTATTTTCAAAAATAGTTTCTGAACAAAATTTATGGAACTCATTTTATATTAATGTCCTTCGAATATTATATACATTTAGTGTCCTTCGAATGTGAACCAAAACAGCCTGTTTTGGCCAAATAAACCAGCCTGGCTGGAACTATTTTGAAACTGAATCAAACTTATTTTCCAATATCAAACCTGTTCGAAACGCTTCAATATCAAACTTGTTTGAAACTTAAGTAGAATCGAATCACTAAACTATTATATTAAAAGTTCATAATATTAACTTTTACTAAATCTATTATATTAACTAAATCTATTAATTTTACTAACTATTATATTAACTTTTCATAAATCTCGAATCTAAATTTCTAATTTGAATTGTCTTTCAGCAAATCCCCACCGTTAATGCCGTACAATAATTACCATAAATATTTAATTACATTTATACAATTACAAAAATTTATTGTTAATAAAATTTAATTAAATTAATATTTTTTTTTTAATCTTATTTCAGAATTTCTTCAAATATTTGTATTTCATTTCAAATAAACTACATTAAGTGGCATGAAATTCAATAAAATTAAAATTTATCGCAAGATTCATTCTAAAAAAATTCACATTTAATAAAATTTAAAAAACAAAAAAAAAAAAATGACTGCAACAACATCTGGTAATACCACACATCAACCACAACAGCAGCAACAACAACAACAACAACAACAGCAATCACTACAGCATGGTCAAATAAATAATAGTGCAATGATTTCTGAAAATAGTTATAATAGCAACAATTGTGGTAATCCAAGCAGCAGTAATAATAATAATATTAGTAATGGACATAGAAAAGGTCACAGGTTAGTTTAATTATTTACAGTTTTATAGTTTGTTTTATTGTCTATATGAAAAAATATTCACAATAGCACCTATAAATAGTTTTTTATAAAATCTATAATGCAAAATATTTATTTATACCATGAGAATTATATTTAAATTTTAAAAATGCAGAAAATTTCATTTCCCGGTATAACGGAATATTCCAAAATAATAGAGTCTTATAGATATGACATCTATATTTTAAATTGTAAACTAACATGACATAAGAGAGTAAATGCGTTGCAATAGCGTAGAAAGTTTTTAAAATTTTCCATAACTATAAGCCCGACAAGACAGATTTAAAGAAACAGTAAATGAGGATAATAAGTTTGACAAATTTGACAGATATTAATTTGACATTTCGTATTATGCACTTACATAAGAGTATCATTCTTAAAATATATTCATTCTGTTTGTTGATAACTAATAGATTTTTGAACAATATAAAAATTAGCAACTTTACAGTCAGAGTTTTAACCCTATTAAAAATGTTTCAAATTTGATTTGCTTAATTTAATTCGACGAAAGTTAGTAGTGAGAATTGTATTCGTTAGAAAAATTTAAACATTATTAAAACTCTCAAAAAACGAAATTCGTAAACAATGTGTGATTTGTCAACTCAACTCCCTGTCAAAAAAAAATATAAGTCGTTTATTAAAAACGGCAACACTTTACTCTTCATTTAATTAATGAATACCTAATATAGTGTTGTGTAATATTACTCACCTAATAAGTTTCACAAAATTTTCATAATGCAAATTAAAATTTTTCAAAATCATAAAATATTTCCTTTCTTTAATAAATTAAAATTTTGTTTTTTTTTTTTTTTGCATTTTAGCAATTTTGTGTTAGAACAAAATGAAATTTACATTATAATAATAAGTTAAAAATTCAAAAATCGATTTTAAAGTTCACAATCGCACATTTGCGAGAACAATGACATAATATATATATATATATATATATATAATAAAAAATAATACAAAAAATTTGTTTATATACTTGTAGAATAGTTCTACACCAACGTTTTTTAGCTTTCGATATAGTAATTTACACTCGGCTATAAATACTTTAAATTCCGGAAGTCGAATTTATATTTTTGAGTTGGGCCGTTATTCTTGTGCGAATTTGTTTAAAACGATTAGAAACAGGCCACCAAATTGAAAATAAAATTCTATACTAAAACTTAATTTTTTTTTTAAATTTTAAGAAAAAGAGTGCGGTACAGATTTGGTATAAAGTTTCTATCTAAAAGCCAGTATCATAAAACAATCAAATATCAAGATCAAAATATTCCAGGGAAAAAACTTCATAAGAATTTAATAAAATAAGATTGGAGAATAATTTAGGGCCAATATTGAGTTGATTGTGTATGAATGAAAAAATAAAGAATTCATACGCCTTTAAAAATCAAATTTCAATTGTAAAATACTCGAAAACTCGTTGTTGCCACAATTTTGTTTTTACCAATTAATTACTAAATTTTTACGCAAAATTGTCAAAAATTAACGAGTACTGGTAATGCTTTCAGTCAAAATTTTACAAATAGCGAATTTTACAAACCTAGGAATTTTTTCTTAAAAGTAAGCTTAAAACGTGAGAAATTCAATTTAGATCAATAATTAAGTGTCAAATAAAGTATTTTTTTGAGAAACCGGTTCAATACTTGATGTGGTATTGTTAAAATTTATTGTCTTTCGTCGCAATCTTATATAAGAGTTGACACATGCCTGTTTATTTTGTATTATAGCTATAAAAAGTCTAAAAGATTCCCGCTGTCATTCTTTTATTTCTTCTACGATATTTTCTATATAAAAAAGAAGTTTTAAGTAAAAAAAAAATTAAAGAAAAAGACGAAAAAAAATATTAAAATCGATTTTTATTTTAAATTTAAATAATTAATTTGTTTTTTTTTCCATTCCATTTTCTTGTGGGACATTTTGTATTTTCTTTTTCTTCTGTTTTTTTTAAGTCATTAATTATTACTGGAGTGTAATTTTAAGGAAACGAAAAAATATAAAATAAAATTAAATTGTTGTGGTTTTTTTTTTTAAATTTTTTTTTTTGTATTTTTACCTTTACATTTTCATATTATTGATTATTTAGAAAATAATTTTTTTTTTAAGAAAAATTTCAATGTTATTTTCGAAATTTTTAAGTAAATTTCATTTAAAATAAATAGACCATTATGTCCATACGTCATCCATCTGTTCTGCAGTTGCATGAAGAGATTTCCATTAAGTTAAAAAAGTTTAATTTGTTTCTTTTTTTTCTCTGATTTTAAATTAAATTCACGTACGCTAAAGGTACTTATATAAAATATATACAACAACAGCTATACGTAAGGTTTACATATAAAACAGAAGCTAAGAATTTATAATAAATTTACAATAAACTCTGATGACTGTTTATATATCAAATTGAAAATATCACAGACTTTACGTCAAAATCTAAAAATCAACTGATCTCTAATAAAAATTTCTGAACAAGAAATCTGATAACAATTCTGTTGTATAAGAATAGACTAATTTCTATTATTTGCCGTGACAAAACTTAGAACTCGTATCAAACAGAGTTTTCATGAAAAAATTTTATTAAACTCAAATTAGATCGTAGATTTTATCGTATAAGTAAAGAATAACTAAAACGTAATTATTTTAAGGCTATAATTTAAATAATTTTCGTATAGACTTTAAGGTCTCCTCCGTGATTATAATTTGCATTTCGATTTCTGCTACTACATCTATTCTATTATAACTATTAAAATCTTGTGTCGTATATGTAAACAATAATTATAATACATAATAATTCTCAGTCTCCTTTGAATAATTTTAATGATTTCCGCGGACATCCAGACTTTCACCTTGATTATAATTTCGATAAATTTCTTCCGATAAATTTGTTCTGTTATACTTCTATTTAAATCTATCAAATTATATAGTTATACAAAATTTTTATAAGGTACACAGAAGTACCTATGTACACATTTAACACGTTTTTTTCTGAATTCTATGCTATATCGAAACCTGAGGCCTAACAGGGTTAATTTCCTAAAATTTATCGAAACAAAAAGAAATATTGTACTCCTTTCTTACAATATTCTGCAAAAGAAAAGTGTTTTAACTTGTATACAAGTAAAATTTACTACTTTACAAACAATTGCTCCTCCCTTGGACCCGAATTCGATATAAAATTTCTTTTATTTACAATCGAATTTCCTCTCTTACATAATCTTGAAATGGTCACTTTATATTTTTATATTTTGTTTTCTTTCCATTTTTTTTTTCTTTCTCTCTTTATTCTCACAAAACATTTTTCTTCTTTAATTTAAAGTTTACGTTTTTCTGTTTTATACTTACCACTTATAATTTCTGTTATATTTTATATGTATAACAATTTAATGTAACTGTTCTATATTATATAAGAAATATAAAAAATATTTAACTATTTTTATTAAAAATTATTTATTTATTTTTTGTATTTACGCGTTCGTTTGTTGGTTTCTGTTTTAAGCAAATATATAATTGGTGAATTCTTAAATAAAAAATGAAATTGAAAAGAAAAAAACTAAAAATAAAAGCTAAAACAAAATTTTTTTATTTCATTTTTAGGTCGCGTGTTTAAAAAACGTCATTCATTCATTCATAAATTTATAAACAAGTTTTAAATTTTCTTGTTTTTTTTTTGTTGTTTTTTATTGTTCTGGTAGTATATTTGTAATATTATTTAAATTATTGTACTTTACATATTCAACCGAAACTTAATTTTGTAGTTAGTTACGTTTATTTATGTAAATATAGAATTAAAACTCCAAAAAAACAAAAAAAAAATCGACTTTACGAAAATTGCTGCATTTAAGTTAAAATGTCCTTCTAAAAAAAAAAAAATAAATAATAATATAAAAAATTCCGAAGAGGCAAAAAAAAAAAATACTTACCACGTTTACCATTTAAGTAGAGCCCCCGCCGCCTGCTCTATATCGCACAAGAATATACCAAATTTTGTTAAAGAATTTTTTCTTATGTTATTATAATTTTTTTTTTTATTATTATTTTGTTAGTTAAACAGTTGATTTCAAGAGCAGAAGGTCAGTAAAAACAAAACAAAAAAAAAAATTTTAATGTTATTAAAGGTCGGGTATTGGTAATTTTTTATTTATTTTTTTGTTCTTTTTCCATTATTTCTTTAGTACCTTTGGTATCTTTGCGTTTAAATATTGCATAGATTCGGGAGTGATGTAAAATGTACAAAAAAAAAATAATATAGCTAGAGCATAGTTCTTTAAATTTGAATATGAAATAATTGAAAATTTAATAAAATTTTTGGAGATTTATTTTTTTTTCATTTTATAAAAGTTTATGTAATTTAAATAATAAAAACAAAAAATTAAAAATTAATATTTAATATTTATAATGTGCGTATAATGAGAAAAGAAATATTGCCTTTATTAATTCGGCAAAAAAAAAAAATATTATTAAAAAATAAAGGTAAAATAATTTTAAATTCTCTTTACTTTCAGTAATTTAATTACAAGTAATAATTATAAAATATTCTTAATATTTATTAAAACAATGTAATATTTCAAAATTTCAGTATATACGGTATTCATAGTATATGGATATACGGTATAGTATACGAAATTACGGTATAGTATTTCAATAATACGGTATTCATAGTACATATACGAATTTGAAAATTTCAATAAAAATTCAAATATTTCAAAAACGGTATTTAAATACAATTCTACTTATAGATTGTAATTTCTAAATTCTCACTTAATAAAATTTTAATGCAATTGAATGAAGTCACGGATTTTACGTTATAAATAACCTTGACTTCCAAAATGCTGTAATACGATATTAATACACAAATTCAGATTATATAATAATTGTGAATTGCTGACTTATGTATTGTAAACGGTATTACTGCATTTTAGAAGTAAAGATAATTTACATTTAAATATAATTAATTATGGATTAGTGGGAAAGTTGCCTATATAATTTGAAATACGAAATAGCTTTCATATGATCGTATAAATAAATTATTGTCTAATTATAGTAGTTAAATAATTGTAATTTAATAATAATCGAATTAGTAACTAATTAATTTACTTATCATATAAAAACGATTATGAAAAAATTGTTGGTTAGGGCTGTTTTGCTCTCGATTAGTTTTTTTTTTTTAAACAAAAATTATTAAAGTTGTGAGCTTAACAAATTTAAAACACATTTTTTTCGTTTTAGTAAGTTTTCCCTTAATATCACAGAATTAATATAATATTACGTAAAGAACATCTTATAATAACATATACATAGATCTAATAACATATTACAATTCGACGTAGACTTTATAATATAACTGGAGACTGGTATTTAAATTTAGAAATGCAATGGAGCATCCACAACTCGAACCTTTACAATTCGAAAATCTCATTACTTCGAAACCGTATGAGTTCCTTTGAGCATTTGCATAACTTTTTTTGTTTCTCTTCAATTCGAAATCTGCATAACTCGAACAATTTTAGCGTTCCCGTGTGACTTCAAGTTATAATGGTCCCACTGTATATATTATTGAAATTTCAAGTTCAATTTATTGACATGTGAGAAATTATTGAAATTTCTTTAATTCAAAATATTTCAAATATAATTTTAAATTTATTGCATATTTATTAAAATATGTCGAGATTCTATGAGGAAAACCGTCTAAACAACATAACGAGAAGTTTTAAAATATTTTACAATTAATGGGAGAAATCTACCAAATTCATATTACTAGGAATTTTGACTGCAATATTTTTGAAAATGAAATATCTTTCTTTTAATTTACAATTTACATATTTAAAATTAATGAGTAGTGAAATATTATTTTAGGATTGTTCTCAAAGCTCTACAAAATTTTTAAAATGTGGAATAGATAGTTTTTCCTACAAGCTCTCTCTTATACTGATTCTTTCTAATTTTTTCTCAATTTTTACCAAATTTCAATTGATTTTTCTCGGAAATGTCATTTTACATATTAAAATACCGCTTGATATAATATTATAATATACTCTCATGAAACTGCAACAAAAACTTAGCTGTACCTTTATAACGCGCCATTTAAAATGTAAAGCATTTTAATACCAAAATTAGTAAATAAATTTTAATTCAAAATGGACGGATTTTAGTTTTCAAATGCATATTATAAATTATGTGTATATTACAAATTATAAAAATTTCTTAAATTTTGCCAAATTCTACAACAAAATTAATTAAATTTCTTAAAATTTTCATTGCTCATTTACATAGCTCATATTGATGCAGCTATATTTGAGTCAAACTCTAATTTTCATTATGGCAACACTTATCCAAAAAAAAATGCACACTTAAGAACAAATTAAGCACATGAGACAATTCTTTTATGACTTTAGAATTTTTTATAAATTTTAAATTATAATTAATATTAAAAAAAAAAAAAACAAATTTCATTTGCATTTTAGGCGACAAGAATCTATGTACCAAATGACTGGTCTTTATTCAGAAACAAATTCTGGTGATGAAAGTAGCACAGATGGTGGCGGTATATTAGATCCAGAATATACATCAATAAATAGTCATCATAATAATAATAATAACAATAATAATAATAATTATCATCATCATAATATAGTTTCGAATAGCTCAAAAAATCAATTACCAGCAACACATTCAAATTTATCAGATACGGTTATTAAATGCCATAGTCGACAGCCATCAGCATCACTTATTGATCGTGAATTTAATAATCAACATCAACATCATTTACATCATCATCATAGTGATATAGATGATTTAGATTTAAGTCGTGATTGTGGCATATTAAATTTTCGTCCGAATTTTATACAAAAATTTGCTCGTATAAAAATTTTTGTATTATTATTATCAATACTAGTCACATTACAGCAAGCATTAAGCTCTGGTTATATTAATTCAGTAATAACAACAATTGAAAAACGTTTTGAAATACCATCAAGCTATTCTGGTTTAATAGCATCAAGTTATGAAATTGGTAATGTGATAACTGTTATATTTGTTAGTTATTTGGGTAGTCGTAGGCATATTCCAGTATGGATTGGAGTTGGTAAGTTGAAAAAAACAAATTTTTCAAAAATAAAAAGTTTACTTTCAATAAAATTCTATTATTCTCTATTATTTATTAGGTGCTGTTATAATGGGTATCGGTTCCTTAATATTTATGGTACCTCATTTCACTACAGAAGCAAATCTATCATATAGTGGTGAAAATTCTAGTAAAGATAATATTTGTCGTGGTGTTTCAGTACGTGAACAAGATATGGGTTTAAGCCGTCTATCAAGTGGTTTAACAAATAATATCCGTGAAAATAATTGTATTGAAGGTAAATCATCAACATTTGGTCCAGTTTTGCTCTTTGTTATTGCTCAATTATTACTTGGCTGTGGTGGATCACCTCTTTTTACACTTGGAACGACATATGTTGATGATCATGTTAAAACTGAAAGTTCATCTCTTTATATTGGATGCATGTATAGCATGGCAGCATTTGGGCCTGTATTAGGTTTCTTACTTGGTGCATATTTATTATCATTTCATATGGATTCATTATCAGGAAGCTTTATTCCTATACGTAAGTTAACATTATTAATTAAGTAACTTAATTAATTGGTGAAATTTATAATTTATGCGATACATTATTAAATTAAATATATTTTTAGCTTCTGATGATTGGAGATGGGTTGGTATGTGGTGGGGTGGATTTTTAGTTGGCGGAATACTACTAATAATGGTGGCTATACCATTCTTTTCATTTCCGAAAGTATTAACTCATGAAAAGAAAAAATTAAGAAGAGCAGAAATGAAACCAATACAGCAAATGCTTCCAAATAATTCAAATAGTTTACAAAGAAAATCCATGGAAAAGCAATTGCAAGAGAAATTACAACAAGAATTGAAGCAGCAACAGCAGGAAAAAAGTGAAAAATCTGATTATGGAAAAGATATTAAAGGTACAGCTTCGATATTAATCTGTTTTAAGCTACAAATTCTTTATATTATTCTTAATTTTAGATATTCCACGTTCAATGTACCGACTATTAACAAATCCAGTTTATATATGCACTTGCTTGGGAGCATGCATGGAATTAATGATTGTTTCTGGATTTATTGTTTTCTTACCAAAATATTTAGAAACTCAATTTAGTCTTGGTAAAAGTCAAGCTAGTGTATTTACTGGTTCAATAGCAATACCTGGAGCATGTATTGGAATATTTATTGGTGGAGTATTTTTAAAACGTTTCCAATTGAAACCCAAGGGAGCTGTACAATTTGTATTAGTTTCAAATATAATATGTCTTGCCGCTTATGCTATGTTATTTTTCTTGGGATGTGATAATGTTAAAATGGCTGGTACCACAATACCATATTACAATTCTTCGACGCACACCTCAATGGATCCTTTTAGAGTTAATTTAACAGCTGCATGTAATTTTGGATGCGAATGTCATATGATAGATGTTGAACCAGTGTGTGGAAATAATGGTTTAACATATTTTAGTCCTTGTCATGCTGGATGTACTGCATTTTCTTCTAATACTAATTATACAAATTGTGCTTGTAAGTTTTATAACAATCAAAAATAATATTTACAAGTAATATTTATCAAAATAATATTCTACAATTTTAGGTGTTCATTCCAATACAACCCCAAAACAACCGAAAACTGATAATCCAATTACTAGTTTCTTAGGACCCGGTGGTAGTCATGCTGAAGCTTTAAATGCACCACCTTTAAGTGATTTTGCTGAAGTTACTGTAGTTCCTGTTGCAACTGCTGGTCCATGTACAACTCCATGTCGTACAATTTATCCATTCCTTATATTATTATTCTTTATGACATTTGTGGTCGCTGGAACTCAAATGCCATTATTAATGATCGTTTTAAGATCAGTGTCAGAAGAAGAACGTTCGTTTGCTCTTGGAATGCAATTTGTCATATTTCGATTATTTGGATATATACCGGCACCAATTGTTTTTGGTAATTTAATAGATTCAACATGTTTGCTTTGGAAATCAACTTGTGGCGAAAATAGTGGAAGATGTTTATTTTATGATATTGAAGCTTTTCGATTTAAGTAAGTATTTTGTTTTTATCAACTAACTTAGTTAAATTAAATTAAATGCAAACTATAATTTAACACTTAAAATTTATTTTGTTTTATCACAGATATGTCGGATTATGCACTGGAATAAAATTAGTAGCATTAGCAATATTTCTAGTTGATTGGTGGTTAGTCAGAAGAAGGAAACAACTAGAAAAACTAAAACCTATAACTGTTAATGATGTTATTGGATCAATAATAAGTTTAGACAAACGTAAGTTTATTTTACTTCTCGTAAATTATGAGACACATCTTAACTAAACTTAAATAAAATTTTAGTTTTCGAAGAGAAACAGCAAGCATTAGAAAATGATCAGGTTGTGCCATATGGAGGTGAATTATGTATTTCAAATGAGGGTTACATACCGGATTCAAATAAAAACATAATGGTTACATCAAAACATTCTAGAAATGATTCCAAAACTATTCAATTAGAATTCAGGTAAAAATATTAACAAATTTAAATTTCATTAGGAAAAAATTTTATTTCTTTTTATTTCATATTTTTAGATATGACAAATGTGACAATAATACAATTATTAATAATCAAGCACCGAATTCACTTGGTGTTACTGTACCAGCAACAAAATCTAAAAAACATTTCCGTAGTGCATCGTGTGATGTTAAAATGATTCGTACAAATTCAAAAGACAGCGCCGATAATGATAAAATTGTATTAAAAAATAATGTGAAAAATTTTCAAACACATTCCCGTAATAATTCAAATGATTTAACATCAGATTTCCGTCAAAAATTAACACATTCCAGAACAAATTCACGGGATGATCATAATACAAATAATATACGTTATATATTAAATAATTTTAATAAAAAAGATAACGATGAATGTTGGAGTCCAGTATTTAGTGCATTAAATTTAAATAATAATAATATCAATTTTAATACTAATAATAATAATTTATTAAAATCAACAACATCATCGAAGAAACATTCACGTAATCATTCATATGATCAAATATATATGCCAAATAATATACGTTTTGATTTAGATTTATATAGACCGAAAAAAAATGTTAATTTAGTTAAAAATTTGGAAAATAAAGTTAAAAATTCAAATGAAATATCAAATAATTTAAATAATACAAATACAAATATAAATCATTCACGTTGTAATTCACGTGATATTAGTCCAAAGGAATTAAATCAAGTTTTAGAATCTCCAACATCAACATCAACATCAACAATAACAAATGTAACAGCAACAACAGCTCCATTAATAACAGCAACCGTACCAATTAATAATATTATTGGAATTAAACAACAATCATCAATTGTTGTAACAGGATTAGGAACAGGAACTATTCAATCAAATATACCATTATCAACAACATCAACCAGTTCAAGTACATTGAGACATCGTAGAACAAGCTCAAAAGAAGCAAAACTATTAATTCCAACACTTGATGTTTGTAATTTAACATCACCAACACCAGGTATTGCTGGTACAACAATAAATTTATTAAATAATGATGATAATATTATTAATAAAATAAATAATGATGATGATGAAGATGCCAACATATCTGATATTCCTTTAGTAAATACAATACAAAATAATATTAATAATTGTTATTGTAGTAATAATTGCAATAGCAGCAATAATTTTTTATATAATAATACAAATAATTGCTATAATTGCTGTAATAATATTGAAAATATAACAAAAAATAATTCATTACAAAATAATATTGAATTTGAACAAACAACACAAACAACAGCAACAGCACATCAATTAAATTTAAATTCAAATATAAGTAATAATCATAATAATATAATTAAAGATAATATTAATAATGATAATAAAGATAATGATGATGAAAATGATGATAATGATTTATTAAATTATATGAAAAGTGATACAACATGTGTTTAAATTTTAAATATTTTTTTTTTAGATAATTAAAAAAAAACACAAAAACAAAAATTTATGTTTTAGGTACAATTAATAAATATTAAAAAAATATTAATTGAATAAAATTAATTTAATGAATACAATTATTTAAGAAATGATTTTATAAAATACAAAAAATATAATTAATAAAAAATAAATAAAATAAAATTTTAGAGCAATTACTAATATTACTAAAATGAAATAACTACAAAAACTCAAAAATTAAATATAAAAAATAGAAAGAAAAAAATTGATATTTAATTATAAAAGTTTGGCAATATTTTATATTTATCAATTTATAAAAGTTTTAAAAGCAACAAAATATAAGAAAATTAAAATATTACAAAAACAAAATGAATATGAACAAAAATGTAAAAAAGACAAATTAAAATATGCGTGATTTAAAATTGTAAGAGTAAAAAATTAAAGTAGAATGAAAATATTATATTGTATGGAAAATAGAGAAAATAATAGCAATTTGTATAATGCAATAAAATACATAAATTAATGTTAAAATGAAAAAATAATAGAAACTTTAATATCCTCCTATACCCTTCTTAATTAATATATTAATATTAATATATTTAATTATATATTTCTTTCTTAATTAATTATTACACAATATATTTTAAATAATTTTTAGTTTTAATATGGTCCTCATATATTTTTCAATATTTATATTTTCTTTAAACTCAAATTTTAAATAAATTTCATTTGTAAATTATTATGAATTTAAAAATAATAAAACTCAATTAAAAAAAAAACAAATAATGTGGTATATATACTTTTTCCTCAATATTTTATAATTCAAATTTAAGAAACTATTTTCAATAATTTTAATTTTATATATAAAATAATTAATAAATTCGAATAAGAATTTAAAACAGATTCTCTAATTTTAAAGATTTGTTCAAATTGTTATTTTATTGAAAAACATTTTCTAATTACATATTAAAAAATATTTGTTAATCAAAATCTTAATTTAATTAACATAATTATAATTAAATTGAAATCCCTCAAAAATTTTTTAAGAATAAACATTTTTATTCCGATCGAATACAATAAAAATTTCAGTATAAATCTAATATAATTGTCTGAAATTCTTATTTTCTAGGAAATTTTGGCTACTAACCATATAAACCAATTTTAAATTTTACCACTACTTATACAAGTTTATTCTAATGAAATTATTATTTGTATAATAAAATCATATTTTTACAATAATTTATGTTAACATCTAATAAATACCCTACAATATTTTTAAAATTATTTGAATATTATATTTGTTAGCAATATTATGTATATAATATTCATAAAATGAATAAATTTGAATTGAAAATAAATACAATATAATAATAATAATAATTATTATTATTATTATTATTTATAATAAAATGTAATTATAGATAGAAGAAGTTGTGCAATTAGTAAAAATACCTACAATATATATATATATACTAAAATTATGTATAAAATTTGAATTTCTATACAAATTGTGTATTTAAATATACAATTATTATCTTAATATTTTAAAAATAAAATATATAAAAAATTGTTGTACAAATAAATATATAAAAACAAGAATGAAATAAGAAAATAGAAACAATAATTAACTGTCCTGTATGTATTTTGTAAATTTACAGCAAAAATAACAAAGAATATTTATATTATAATAAATTACTAATTAATATTTGTAATAAAATTATAATAATCTATTAATATTAATTATTAATTTAATAAATTTATTTAAAAATTATTAATGTGATAATTAATTCATTGTAATAAATAATAATATATATTTTTTTTCATTTATTTTTGGTTTTGGTATTTTTGGTAATTTTGTATTAGAATTTTATAAACTCATTTTAATAATTTCAAACTTCTTATTTAAAAATAAATATTTTAAAATTAAAAAAAATAATTTACTTAATATCACAAATTAACAAATTATAATTGCAGATTAAAATTTTTCAAATTTAATTAGAAAATTTTTAATATTTTTTCAGAAATTCATTATTAATTTATGTTTAAACTTTAAATAATATTAAAACTTATGGAATTCAAGATAATGTCATATGTATAAAACTATTAGGCCTCCAAGCTAAAAATATTTTCCGAAATTTTCGAATCGGAAAAAAAAATACAAAAACAATTCTTAATATTTTATGTTTTTCGAAATATGCCGATTGAAATATTTTTTTGTTTCGTGAAAGTTTTTGAGTATACTTTATGAATCTCATTTTATTTAGAATAGTTTTAAAAGCCATTTAGATTATTGTATTATTGCTTTTTTCTTCAATTTATTTTTAATTTCTATTTCTTATTCAAAAATTTTACTCTGTAATTCAGTACCCTTTTATATTTGGAAGACAAGAAATGTTGTTTGCGATAAAAATTGCAAATTTTTCTTTTTTTTTAAATGCATTTTTCAGGTGGAATTTACCAATCGATTTTAATTTTTAAATTTAATTTTTAAATTATTCAAAAAATATGTAGAATCAGTAGAGTTAAAAATATACCATTTCACATCTTCCATTTTACAACTTCATTTAATTTTTTGGAATTTTTTTTTTTGATTTGCTCTCTGAAGTTTGATGGCCTGATAGATTATATATGGCATTATTCAAGAAATATAATTTTAAGAATAAAAAAATTTAAAAAATTTTTTAAATATATTTAACATTTAATTTTTACAAATTTTAATATTCTTTGTATCTAATAATTTCCAAAATAATTAAGAAATAAACTATAAACTATGTTCTATATTGCAATAATATGCTTTTTACAACCTATTTCAGCTCAGAAATATTAATTTTTGAATTCAATTTAATTATAAAATTTTAAATATAATTTAAATATAATATTAATTGCATTATAGAACTCCAACAATTTTTTATTTTTATTATATAATACCAATTAATACCAAATAAATATTTATTTAATATTTTCCTCTATTATTATTTTCAATACAATGAGCCTTATTCTAGTTGTTGAAGTAGAGCGACAATTGTCGTCACGACTTGAATTTGATATTCTAAATGGCGATTAAAGTGACACGTGTCGTGGAATAGCGGGAAAATGTGTTTCAGGTATATTCCAGTTGTCGTTGTAGAGCGACACATGTCGTAGTGAAACGACGTTTTTTGTCGAAAAGTATTTAATAAGTGACAAGCGAGATGGATACACCAAAAATATAAGTTTAAACAAAACAATTTAATAAAAATATAAAAAATAATAAATTTTGTAATTTAATACATAAATTAAACCATATAATATATGGTTTGATAGTCTGTAATAGCTTATAAATCTGTGAATAAAATAAAATGTTTGTAACTAATGTATTTGGAAAAATTATTATCTTACACTCCATTTGGCAAATCCAATGGATTAGAACTGTTCCTAATCTTAAATCTTTTGATCCTTAATTGTTGCTTTTTTTCAATTTCATCACTCTCGGAGTCTGATGAATCCATAAACCATAATGCAAATGACGACATTTTTTATTTCCCTCGTATTTAAAAAAATAAATATATACACCGAATTTTTTTTTTTTTAGTTTGAACTTTACTCGCCAAAATTTCTTTTTAAAATGTATCAATTTCACTTGAAACGTTTCATTTTCGTTTATTTCTCGCAGTCACGTCACTCGACAACTAGAATACCATATTTCAAATGATGTGACAACGACAACGACAAATGTCACGTAAGTGACGCGACAACTAGAATAAGGCTCATTATTACATAGTTTTAGTATTTTTTTATGTATATTTTCAATTTAAATTCAATTATTAATATTATATGTAAATAATTAAAAATTTTTTTTATTTTCCTTTTATTATACATTAAGTATAGATTTTAAAATTTTTTTATATACCTATTTGTCGTTAAATTATATTTTAATTAATAAAATATTATTGAATAAAATTTTAAAATTATTAACATGTTAATTTTATAAAAAAAAAAAAATTCTTTTGTAATTTAATTAAAATTTTTTAATTAATATTTTAAATATTTAGAAATTTTTATAAAAAAAAATTAAAATTGCAATATTATATATGATAATGTTTTCATATTGTTTAATGTAATTTTGAATTATTTGATAATTTTTAGTAAATTTTTAAATTGTAATACTAAAAATTTTATTTTGAATTTTTTTCTTTTTTAAAAAACAAAATGCTTTATTCTTTATAAATAAAATGTTAATTTGTTTATATTAAAATTTATCTAATTTTATATTCAAATTATTTGATTTATTAATTTTATTAATAATTTGTTTAATATTAAATTAAAAAAATATCGAATTTTCGATTCAAAAGTGAAAGAATGCTAATTAATATTTTATTTAAAACTCATAGAATTATATTTGTTTCAAATTTGAACAATGTCTGGGGGAAAATTTATTAGTTTTTTAGTATTTTAAAAAATTTAAAAACAAAAATTATTATTTTTTGTAATTTATTAGGTGTTTTACTTTGATATTCAAATTTGCAACAATACCGTAATAACTAGCAATACAATTCAGCAATTAAAATTTATATTAGCTATTTAAATACTCTTTTACAGCAATTTAATAATAAATATATTTTTTAATTATAATTTAGTTTGGGTAACTTCGGAATTGCATCTACGACGCGTCAGGCACATTGTATAATCTTCTAAAATATTAACAAAAAAATTTGGAGAATGTGATTTATGTTCAGAATTTATTTGATGTTGTGTTCTGCGACGTTATTAACACTAAAATATTTGTCAAATTGTATATCAAAAATATTTTCAATTGTTATAGTTGTTTTTTATACGTTTTTTAATTAAAATATATTGAAACAAAAAAAATTATCTTATTAAATTAAGCAATTGAATGAAATAATACAAAGCATTAAAATTTTTAAGTTTTCAAATGTAAAGTAATAGAATGTGTTTGAAAAAAAAAATTGAAATTTTATTATTTTTTTTTCGATTTTGACAAAATCGTACAACTTTTATTTGATGATTCCTAATGATTTATAATTTTATTATTTTCTTTCTCATAATTTATTTTTTTTATATATTAATTATAAATATATATGTACATTTGTTTTTTTAT